GCTGAATAATGCTAAGACCTTGCAGTTCATCAGCAGCTTAGCGTAAGGTATCCCTGTGTACACTCTTGAATTACAGTAATTACTCTTGAATTGTAATAAATACAGGGTAAGAGTCTTTACGTGGATGCTTATCAGAGAGCAGATGAGGTGCTGTAAGTCCTCCTTCTACCTAACAGTAACCTGTTCTTGTCCCTGAGAGTTAAATTAGTAGCAGTAAATTTTCAAAAATGAAAAATGAATGGTTGTGGACAAATCCAGCAATGAGATGGAGGAAGATGATCACAGTGAGGAAAGTTTTATCCTGGAGGCCCAGGGCTTTTATACGAGAACTGTTGAAGAGCTGAGCAGTTAGGTAAGAGTTACGTGTCTGAGGAGACAAAGTGGAGGCAACCTCAAGCAGGCCTGAAATCAGCACCACGTTTAGGTGAGACAATAGGAGTTTAACACTGTGTTTTCCTAATCCTTTCCTCCGCATTTGTCTGCAGATAAGCTTATAAACATTACTTCCTGGGACAAGGATGCTCTTCTGCTGTGTGTCTCTGGTCAACCTGTGTCAGAGAGATATCAGTAGTGATGACTAGGGCCGTGTGGATCCAAAGAGTGAAGGGACTTTTAAAAAAAAAGACATAGACATTCAGTCTAGAGGGCAGTAGATGGAGGAATTATTCTCTGACATACTCAGGTGTAGGCATTTTGACTCCTTTGGATTTTCTGCATAAGCTTTTCCCCACAACTGCTACCTCATTGTGAAATCCATCAACAGAAGCATCAGGTCTGCCACTTGAAATGATTGTCCTCATGAAGACCAAAGGTGCGGTCTAGTCCTGGACCAAAATACGTACCTAAATAGTTAACTTTTACTTTTAAATTGGATGATGTTGTAATATCTGTTTTTTTTTCTGCAGAGTTTGATCTTTTTTAGAAACCTTTTTGCTAACACATAGCAAGTCTGTAGTCATCAATATCGGGCAGGGCACTCAAAGAGATTAGATTGCAACTGAGCAAAGCCATATCTGGATGTTTAATCAGAAAGATGCACAAAACAATATCAACAAACCACAGCCATTTCCTTGCTCATAAAAGCTGCAGTTTTCCAGAATTTACAGAACTGGCAGCAATCCGATCAGAAATCACTGAAGTAAATGATGATAGCTATTTTTCCTTTTCTGTACCATGTCCTGGGTAAAAGCAGTTTGTGTTTCCCACTGTTTTCACTGGCACTCAAGTCACAAGAAACCCACTCACAACACTACAGCTAGAGCCCTATAACTTGTAGCCACTCAAATACGAGGCAAGTAAGTGAAATGGAGAAGATCTGTTCCACACCAGGCAGCAACAGTCAGAACTGATGCTCATAACTGTTTTTCACAACACAGTGGGGGTTTATTTATTTTGTTTGGAATGACGGGATAATACAACTGGAAAGGCAAGAATAGTACTAGCTAGCCTAGCTAGCAAACTAGCTGCCTTATGGAAAGGCAGTAGGGATGAACCTTGAATTCTAGCTCTGTGACTATAGCCATGGCTATTAACTTCTCTGTTAATGGACCAGCTACTGAACCCACTTCACTGCTAGATAAGGTGCTGAGGTGCTGGCAGTGAAGAGTTTGCTTTACATCCATAGTAAGAAATCTTGCACTGCTGAATCTGGGTATAGTTATACAGGAAAATCAAGTTAGACTGCTTCTCTCTGCTGGGCAATGTAACACAGAAGGATCTGCTGAATTTTTAGCTGGCTTTTGTTCAGAAATCAGCAACAGGAGGTGCACAACCACTGAGTAACTTTTAAAATGAGGTAACTGGCAGCTGTTTCCCTTCATATGATTCCTCAATGTTTGTTTTGATGCTGGACAAAATATAAATTGCAGGAATTAGAAAAAATTAAGTTTTTTTAAAATATGGTTTCCTAGTTCTTCAATTCATTGCATATCCACCCGAGCTGCTAATGCTCTCATGCCTAAACCTCCTTCTAAGCCTCCTCCAAAATGACTGATTTACTACTGAATTGAGGTTGGACTCCAGCCTATCCCGTGAAAGTGAGTTTGCTTCATACAAATGACTATTTCTCAGAAACTGCTAACTTTGCCTTCCTCTTACAGTTTTTATATAATTTCCTGTATGTAGGTATCTTTTTCCAAATACCAAAACAATGATGAAATTGACTTTTCCTTCTTGAAAGGGAAAGAAACAATATTAAACAACGTTTTTATTTTAAGAGCAGAGAAAAAGTTCTGCATTAGAAACAAGGAAGCATTTTACACTAGAGAAGTTTCCTGAGCTGCTAATAATGGCTGAGGACCTCCAGCTAGATTTTCTTTGAGCGGGAATTAGAGATGCAGAAGCAGCTAAGTGGGCTTCACTTAGGAAGGGCTATGTGTAACTTCTGTGGGTCCTACTAGATGACTTTTAGTTTGTGAAGCCTGCCCTCAAGGGGTTGGTTTATTTGGATTTAATGACTCATGTAGGCTTGTGGATCAGCTTTATTCTCTTTAGTGAACCAAAGGATGCTGTTTGATCCTGCAAAATGAAAGGGAATGCTTCAAGTATCCTTCTACATTCTAGAAATCAAAGGATTGATTGAATCACTTAAAGAGGGACAGGAAAGATAAGTGCCATGTGACTATGTTGCAAAGATAACTGTTCTGTGTGTCCTCCTGCAATGACTATAAAATGACCCTATTGATACCTGGGGCCCACATAATGTGGTTCAGGGATGGCTGAATCACATTGTTTTCTAATAGTTCATCTTCAGGCAATCACTGTTTTTATCTCCACTCACATGTTTGCTTTTTCCAGACATTGGAAAAAAATGGTCTTGACTTCAAAAGGTATGAGTAGGGGTTGAAGCAAAAGGGCATGTTGCTACTGTCCTTATCCCCTACTGCCACTCTGCAAAGAATCTCTCTGTTCCTCTTCTTTGTTTTCTTGCATAAACACATCTCCTCACTGCCACCACTATTCTGCTGGCCTCTCCCTGCACTGTGTTCATTCTTACCTGATTTAATCTCTTCACATGCACAGCTGATGAAAGAGTCTGTCTTTATCCAGCAGCTCTATAAATCATTAAGTAGGCTTAGATTTACATATAAAACAGCATGAAAGATGATGTTAAGAAACTGTGATGAACTTGTTCGATACAAGTCATAAGGCTTCCTCTACATAAATAAAAATAAAGAAATTAGCAGAAGGTTTTGACATTCCTAACTGATGGGCATTCAATGGAAGCTTGCGTAGTCATCCAGAAGTACTGGAAGTTGAGTGCAAGATGAAAGATGTTGCAGAAAATAAAATGTAATGCAAGGCTTTGTGTTCAGCAGGGAAAATCGGTGAGAGGAAGGGGAAGAGAAAGCTTTTGGGATTTGCCCTGATCTGAACTTCTTTGACTTATATGTGACATGGTTTGAGTAACTTCTGTTTCAAAAGGCCTAATTCGCATTACACATATAGCAGATAAGCATCAGGTCTAGCACGGGTGCAAACGTGGAATCCATACTGGATCATCTATGCAAAGAGGGAAGCTCTAGTATCTGCAAACTATTGGGAAAGAAATGTTCCTGAATGAGGACAAATCTGACAGTTTGCTTCTTACAGATGACACTACCTTTTCTACTATAGGTGTGGACATCTTGTACCTTCAATAAGAAGCTGCATTATTTTTTTAAAAAACGATAGCAGTACAGGATAAACAAATAGTTTTTATTTAAGTATCTTGAAGATATGTGCTGCAGTTTGTCCAGGAAGAAATATTAGCCTAAGCTGGCAAGGGACTAACATGCTACTCTTTCAAATGATGCCCACAAACTGGGAACTACTTATTCAGAACTCTGGACAGAATTTGCTTGTTCTTGAGTTTCTACCCAAGGTCTAGCTGCTAGAATTGTATGAAAATTTCAGAAGTCAAGTTTAAAAGGTTATTATCCTGTACTTATTTTTTAAGTTAACCCTGGGAAGTGTGGACTGCTTATACCTGATGCAGTGATGTCTATACAAAAGGACAAGAGCATTCACAAAACAGAACCGCAGCAACTAGGAGGGCAGAAAGATTACTGATCCCACCTCTGCCAACACACCAGGTTAGCTTCCTGCTTTGGGTTTAAATTTATGGGTGGCAGGAGAGGGCTGGGATGTTGAACATCTCTTGCATCTATTTTTTGTTCATAAAAACTGCTTCCTCTGCAAAAGAGGCATGCCTCCTTGACCTGCGTTTTTCCTCTGAGTTTGTAACCTGGGTTTGTTGGCAGGAAAATTATGATATTGGTAGCTACCTGATAAAAGTTCACACATAGTATGTCACAAATACATATATAAAGTTTTATCAGTGGTTTAGTTTCATGTCCAATAATGATAGTGCAAATCTTCACATAGTTAACATAGATCTGATATGAGTGGAGCACTGCGCATTTGAAATGCTGCCTTTGGTTTCCTGGAGACTGAGAGAGGCATTCATGTGCTGGTTACATGCAGTGTGCAACCTGAAGACTTTCTTTAATTCCATATGGACATATTTGGATATTGTTATTTAAATTTTTAAGGAAAAGGAGCTCCTGGAGAATAAGGTCCAGTCAGTTTTCAAGTTCTAGGTTGTCAGAGTGGTGTGATCCAGCTCACTTGGAGACAGAGTTTTAAGGAAAGTCAAATACCTTTCATATAGATAGCCCAGTACAAAAAAGATCCCCTGGTGCTATGTCATTTAGCAAGGAGCACATAAAGGCTCACGGCAAGCATATCTAGATCATCTGAGATGTGAATCTGATTGCAGGTACCTGGATAAACATAGTCTTACTACAGTAATTGTCACAAAACCCCCACCACAACGGAAATACATGTGCCCTTTGGGTTACAGAATATGTTAGGTATTTGACTAAATAAAAATATGGTGTGGAATACCACTGTCTTCTAAGTGTGCTGACTGGCCATTTTGTGTGTGTGTGTGATTTTCACTATCAGTGACCATTTCTTCTCCCAGGAGATGGTGCCAGAAAATGTCATAAGAGGAAAAAATGTCACCTAGCAACCAAAGCTTTGTGAAGAAAAGTTCCACACTGACCAGCAGAGACAGAGCGAGCTGGGGAGTGGGGAGGAGGCATGAGCAACAGTGAAAAGGCTGCTTGTCTGCTGCTCTGGCGCTGACCTCAGCCGTGTTACGGTAGGTGCTCTGGGCACAAAGTTAATCTCAAAGAAAGTTTGGAGTTTCTGTCAAACTGGCTTGCATAGAACTTGGTTTGCAAGACAGGACTTTGGGTTACTTTTTCCTGACTTTCAAACATGGATTTGAAAATGATAAAATCTCGGATCATGATGGGGATCTATGTTTTAATTTTATAATGGCAAAAAGTAAACTTGAGAGGAAAACGCATTCTCTCTCTTTTATCTGTCTCATTTATCTCTTTCATCCTTTCCTACTATTAACAAAGACCAGATTAGCAGATATATCTTCTATTATCTGGTTAAGCAGAGAGGAGCATTTATTTTTTAAGGTCTTTCAGAAATTAAGAGATTCAGAGTTAAGATTACTTGCCCCCTCCGGGTACTGTAAGGAAGCTAGGGAACAGTGAGAGACAGACTGGTTTATGAGGGGAAACAAAACATCTTGGAAAACATTAATACACCCGAATTAACACAACACTGAACAGGATACTGTGCTTCATGTGAGCAAGGAATGAAATGTTTAAAAACAGGCAAGTGGATTGTGGCTGAAAATCAGAGGACAATACTCCTGTCACTTCTGCTGCACAGGCTTGCACGTGGTCCGTTTTACCTCCTGCCTGTGCTTGCATGACAGTATGAGTGGGTGTAATAGCATGGAGAGGATGTGAGTAGGACTGATCTGGCATACTATGCATGCAAGGCACACACCGCTGCTGTTTTATTTCACCACTACACCAACAGAAACTGCCCTTATATAGACACTTTTGGCTAAGGTTTTACAGTCAGTGTTACAATATACTTTATTATAACTGCATGCATTTCATCACCTGCAGATTTCATAACCTGTTAAGAGTGACATTGCAGCATGGCCATTTTATTTCTTTATGGCTTTTTTTGGTTCTGCGGTGGGAAGGGAAGCTGTATTTTTTGGATTTTTGCAGTCATGTTTGAGCATTTGTCAGTCTCTTTCCCACTGCTATTTGTCTTGTTTAATCTCTGCCTCCACACCCTCCTCCCCAAATTCATAGCAAACGCCGAGAGAGACATCCCGAACTCCCGTGCCGCACCCCGATAACCGATCCCCGATCGGGAACCGGCAAAATGGTGCAGCGCAACGGGGTGGCGCCCACCTCCCTGCGGGCTACGCATCCGTCCCGGCCCCACCGCCGGCCGGTCCAGCTCGGGCCGCCCGACCCCGGCAGAAACCGCAGCGGTCCCTCCAGATCGGGGCGCCATTTCCCCCTTCGCGAAGTTGTCCCCCCCGTGGAGCTCGGTCCCGCCGCTCACGGGGCTGCGGGCGGCTGCGCTCCCGGTGACCGCTTGTGCCAGGATGCTTTTGGTGAA